GAAACAACTGCTGCGCCGCAGAAATACGAATTGAACAGAGGGATCCAAGCTGACGACTTTTGTACAAAGTTTTCCTCTGATGTAATGAGAAATATCTAGTGTATACCATATATATGGTATGGTATGGAGAAATATTATGTGAACTTTCTGAAACAAAATTTATAACAAAAAACTTTAAGGTTCTAAATTGTACATAATTTTTTTATGGAAAAATAAATAAATGTAACCTTCAATGAAGAAGAATTAAAAGAGAACGAAGTATATTTGGCCAATTGTGACGAATTGTCGTTTTTAGGGGGGATAAATTTTTATCATCTATGTAATATGGCAAGAGGCAGAAAATTGTCTACGTCATCTAGTGTTTATGTCCTCTGAAAGATCATCCTGCTCTCTTAATTACAATTCCACATAAATTTTATATCAGCTATAATTTAACTCTACTCAACAATTCAATTATATCAATAAAGTTACCCTCCGACATAGAAAACTTCTAAATCACGTCCATCACCTTGTTTTCCGAATACTATTATTCTAACAATAGGATCATCAATTTCCTATGGCCTTGTCCATACTTATTGTACTTATAATTAGACGAAGTAACACGCTAGTAGCTAATCTGTGAAGCCATATTCACCCTAGCGACAAGCTGTGTCGCGTGCGATAGTCTCCGTGCTGCGTGAGTGAGCCCATAATAGCCCATGAGCCTCTATTAGCCTGATACACCGTTAGACAAATATATATTTAATTTTACTCACCTTGTGTCATTAAGCATAATAATATATAGTTGCGCCGCGTGGCTTTGCTCGCATAACTTGGGATAAAAAAGCTTATATTATTAACCTAAAATATGATACATCAGTGTACAAAATGTCAAGCAAATTTGTGGAATCGTAATTAAAAAAAAGGTAAATTTTAACATATCTTTTTTTATGCAACTTAGAATGGCTGACGGCCCACCTAATGGGAAACGGTAACCGTCGCATATAGACATGAGCAGTACCGTGGACATAACAGAGTATACTGTTTCGACCATGATACCCCCCATGCGTTGCCATTTCTGAGGATTCAAGTGTTATTCCTCTATACCGTGTAAATTCACTGCCATAAATATGAAATTTTGTTAAGGATGGGATATCCTTAACAAAATTTCATATTTATAATACTATTACATATCCGACTATAATGTGATTCAAATACTTCATATTAGCGAGCTCTAGATAGAATAGTATTTATATTGTCTGGGACTGAACATGTATGTAATGGTTTCAAATATATGACGAGTATATATATATATATACTTATATAGAACTAATACGCGACGAGTATATATGTACTTATACAAAACTAGTACGCTAAACCTAATTTACTCAGCAAAATTTAGGCATGTCGAGTATTAATTTCTCCAGAACTGTAACTGGTGACAAATATCTCTGATAACCATCAAGATTATAACATAAAAGTCTGTCTCTGTTACAGGGAAAAAAATAGCTTACAGGTACATCCTTCACCAATAAGACGCTTGTGTTTTATGGTATTTTGTATTTTTTTTATACCGTGAAAGTGGCAAACAAGCATATGGCCCGTGTGATGGTAAACTTACTGTAGCCTATAGAGGCCTGCAACACTAGAGGTGTCACGTGCGTGTTGTCCCCTGAAGAAACATTAATATACCCTGTTTGAAAAACCCCATACTGTAGTCTCTTAAGAAAAATCTCAGCAGGGGAACTAAATCCATTGTATTTCGAATGTTGGTTTTTTGTTGTTGGTTGGTAACCAAGCTGACAAACCACCTGATTAAAAATGGTAAACGTTGCCTATAGACATGATCAGTATCATGGACATAACAGAGTATACTGATTAGAAAGAAACACATTATTATAATTATTATTCTCCGTTTTTTTTTTTATTTATTTATTTATTCTTTATTGACCACTATTCCGTTCTAAATGCTATATGTATACCAAATATTATGGCAGTTGGTGGAAAGGATCAAGATATCTAATCTGTAAACTCAAACAATACATAACCATATTTTAAAAATGTTTTCATCTATAGAATGCTTCATTGTCAGCAAGTAACTTGGGCTGTATTTTATTTACAAAAAAAAAATCACTTTCACATTTGATTTCTAATACCAGGATTTAGGGCAGTATAACTGGGTACTTAAAGTTTAAAAATATAATAGTTCCAATATATTATTTTATAAATTAAATTAAAATTAAAATACGTTTATTGTCAAAAACAAATAACAGAAACAGAGCAGAATAATAATATAACTTGTATGAAGTTGCTTTATGAAAAGTGTGCATTACCATCAGTCCCCAAACTAGGTCAGACCTGTATCTTGGGGACTAAGAGCGCAGTTACCTAATGTTTAGTACATTTCTAAGAAACACTTAATAGGAAAAAACAATAAAGTACTGCTATCTATTGTGAACATTAAATTCAAATTTCAAATTCAAGTAATTTATTGCATGAATATGGGTACATATATTAGATAAAAATATTTTTTACGAGTCCATTATTCCATATTCTACCAAATCAAAATAAAAAAAATTATCATTACAATAGCCATGTAATATATAGAACAATTGACTGTCAAATATTCTTTCACTTTTTTCTTAAAGACATTTAAATTCTCTATTTCCTTGCCTTTGGAATTTTATTATATATTTTAGAAACCATACCGAAAAAACTTTTATCAAATAATGCTATGTAATAATTCAGCGTCACGGGCTGAACGCGAAGAAATTAAATAAAAATTATATATTTTAAATCATCGATGTGCCACAATCGTAGAAATTCCATACTGGCATAAACTCTACCGCCATTGTACGAGATAGTTTGTATACAACTCACGTAGATACCGGTTCACGTAACGAGAATTCATTTTCAGCTATGAATAAATGGTCGCTGTGTGAATAAAATTTTTACCTACCTAGTATCTATTACCCTGGCTAACTTTGTTTTTAGGGTTCCGTACCTTCAAAGGAATAACGGAACCCTTATAGTATTATTTCGTTGTCCGTTCATCCGTCCGTCCGTCCCCGTTCGTCCGTTCGTCCGTCCTTAAGACCCTTTTTCTTGGGATCGCGTGTATTAAGTTGAAATTAATATCATATACTCAGGTCTGCAATCTCTTAAAGCAGTGAAAAATTCAAGCTTCTAAAAGACACAATCAAAAGATACGACCGTTTATGTTCCATTTATATTGCGTGTTTTGACATTCGCCAAGGGAATCAAAACCTATAGAATACTTCTCGTTGACCTAGAATCATGAAATTTGACAAAAAGCAATGTCATGTAGTACAAGTAAAGAAAAAAAATCGAAAACCGTAAATTTGTAATTATTTCCCAAAAAAAATAAACTTGATGATTTTGTACGGAACCCTTTTTGCGCGAGTCCGACTCGCACTTGACCGGCTTTTTATTATTTTACTTCAGTTTTAGTATTCCCCTAACCGGTTCATTTTTATAGACAAAACATTACAACAAAAATCTAAAGAAATAAATTAAATATTTAAAAATAATTTAATAGTGGCTGTGCCCATAACAGAATGTCATGTTTTTATGTAACTGAGAATGGTAAACAAGCTGACGGCCCACCTGATGGAAAACGATAACCGTCGCCTATAGACGTAATCGACATCATGGACCATACAGAATACTCTGTGATACCCATGGTACCACCACTCATGCGTTACTATTCTTAAGGATGGTGGTGTTACGTTGCCTTTTTTACCTCGTAAATTCACTGCTATACGTCATACTTCAAATTGAAACATCGCTATCTAAACGCAGCTACTTTGCGAAAGAAACACAATTTTTGTACATGTAGATAAAATAAATAAATGGTATTCTTTGTCTCTCGCTTCTAATAGAATCAACGTCGGGGATCATAGATAATGATATTTTAGTATCTTTAAGAATTTATATATACTAACAAAGCTATTACTATGACTTCAAGTCGACAATAATACAAAATAGGTTCAGAATTCCACAGCCGACATGTCTAAGACTATTATTGGATCTGAACAATAGACATGTCCTCGCACGTCATGGAATAGAGAGCGTTTTAAAAAAATAGGTTAGAACTGAAGCCAAGTGCTTTGGCTCTAACCTATTTCTGTACAATATTTGAAAAATGTTATTTACTACCTGTATCCCGCAGCTTCACTCGCGTAAATCACTATATTATTATAAAGTAGTCTATGTTTTGCCGTGGTCCCTGCATAGAATAGACCATCCCTGTCTGTCCCATGGTTGTCGTAAGAGACGACTAAGGAAATTTTATGATCAAGGGATAGGCAGCATCCCTCTTAGAACATCACCAAAGCTTGAGGATGCCAACGCGCCTGCCAAGCGTGGCAGCTATTGGCAACACCATCCACCTTGTAGGGAAAACCTATGTCCAGCAGTTGTCAGTTAACGGTTGATATAATAAAATTCTATGTTTACAGTTAGGAAGTAACTTATCCGTGTACCAAATTTCATTCAAATCTGTTCAGTAAATATTACCTGAAAACATAACAAACTAACAATATAACAAGAAACCATCCATACCCCCTTACAAACTTTCACATTTTACAAGTACGCAATTTTTTTATATGACATAAAGTAAAGTAAATATATATTTATTTCTCTTACAAAATAACAACATAATGAAACGTACAGTTATTGTTCTAAACAATTTAAAACAATCTTTGTGAGAGACTGGTTTTGGTACTAAGATAACCTGGCTCTAGGCAAGTGACAAGCGAATTCATCGATGGAATCTACACCGACTCCGTGAGATAGAATGAGATAGCAACGCTGCACGTCTCACTCCAACTCATGGACTCGCTAGCGATATCGATTCCATCGACGGATTCGCTTACCATTTGTCTAGAAGCCCTCTTTTACAAATCACAAGGCTCCCAACTTAAGTATATCTAATTTAGTTGATTTGTTACGATAAATTTTAAATTATCCATTTATACCATTATTTAATTCTGTTCCAGGTGTGTCTCTAGTGTACATGATGGCGGTACTACCAGGCCTGCTGCCGTGGGGCGGAGGAGGCTCCTGGTTCCTCTCGCTTTGCCACCTGCTGGGTGCACTGGCGCCTTGGTGTGGTTCCTTCCTTTACCACTTGTTCATGAACCACGCGAGAGGTGCGGCGCTGTACCACCGTCTGCTACAGCTTGACATGTTAGGCATATGGGTCAGCCAGAGCATAGGTGAGTTCATATTACACAATATTAATAATTACTCTAAAAACTGAAGTATTTATAATACTTAGATTCTAATACCCTTATCCATAAAACATCAAACATCTCATAACCCTATCTTAGCAATTAAATTGTTTTGTCTCTTTCTTTTACGCTAAATTTCCAATTTGAAAGAAAATGACAAAACAGTGTAACAGTTGAAGTGGATTTGTAGAAGGTTCTAGTTTTTATAAATAATTTATCTGTAATCTGTCATTATTATATCTAATATTTACTCCACTAGTATTAGTTTATGAAGATATTTACGAATTAAATATATTTTGTTGTGAAAATGTCCCTATCGAATATTCGTCGCCTATATTTAGTTTAAACATAGGCAGATATGTTAAAAGAACAAGCATATACATATATGCGCCTGCTAAGAACAAAAGTAATACAGACAAGACAAACAAGCGATAAGGATGTGAATAATTGCACATTTATTTGTGACTATAATAGACGAAAGATAAATATTTCTTATACACTATAAATATATATAAAATATTACCAAATTATCCGCATTCACTTTAACGGGATATAAAAATTGCGAATATACGTAACGATAATGATAGAATTTCATGTCTCAAATGTCATAAAATTTTTAATGCAAAGAAATATCCTTAATGAATATAAATTTTTCAGCCTGTGTAAAAAGTGCCTTTTTAAAAACGTTACGCTAAAACCGACAGAGTGAACACGACCAACAACGTGATAGAGAAAAGTATAGTTATGAGGACGTTTTACAAGCAATGAAGAAATTTAAGTATTTTATCTTTTTTTTTTTTAATAATTTCATAGTATGAAAGACTTAGACTTTTTTTATTATAATGTATATATCTAATACTATGCCTTGTAGCAGGGAATGCAGATAATTTGGTAACACCTTATATAATAAAATCTTGACTAAATTCAATAGAAAAAAATCTATATGTTTTCTATATATGATACTCTGTTCCGTTAACTGTGTATGATGTCAGAATAGAACATATTCAATATAAAAGATAGTGATGGCACATTGTATTACTTCATTCTCACTATCTGAAACTTGACAATATTATAGTTATTATATAGTCCTCTTGGTTTTTGTAATATATATATATATATATATATATATATATATATATATATATATATATATATATATATATATATATATATATATATATATATTGCTTACTAATATAAGCAATATATATTATGAAACCACTGACTTATTACATATCATTAGTAACTCGAGATTAATATAATAAAATTATGTTAGACGATAGACATCGTCTCCCATGTACAGACGTACGTGAAAGATATTTAAGTATTATTAATTTTAATACATACAGTCAAAATAGTACATCTTAAAAATTTTGTTTACCTCTTTGTCTATCTGTACGTTTGCTTCGATATCACGTAAAAACCACTGCACCAAATTGGATACTATTTTCACCGTTGTGTTCTTGAAGATCTAACTTAAAATGGTAGACGTTTTATGTTGATACGCCAACTAGAACTGGTCTATTTTATTGGTTTTCCTATTTGTGAAATCCTTGTGATTTTCTGAAAGCGTGCGAAGTAGCGAGTAAAAAGCTTGTAAGCAATATAGATGCAATTCCGATTCACAACTAAGTTTCGTAGCAACCTACCTATAAAGCCAATTGTAAATTTAAAATTATGTATCAAATAATAAATATCAAACATTCTTTTGTGCCGTGTGGTCCCAGCATAGAATAGATCAACCCTTCCTTTTACGAAGGTGTCGTAAGAGGTGACTAAGGGAATTTAGGGAATAACACCTGAATCCTCAGGAATGGCAACGCATGGGGGGTATCAAGTGCGAAACAGTATACTCTATTATGTCCATGGTACTGCTCATGTCTATAGGCGACGGTTACCACTTTCCATCAGGTGGGCCATCAGCTTGTTTGCCATTCTAAGTTGTATAAAAAAAAAAAAATTGAATAATGGACAGCGGTGTGTGGCAATACTAACACGCTGTATGGGTACCGGCATAAAATGGAACATCCTTTCCTTTTACCTAATTGTCGTAAGAGGCGACTAAGGGAATTTAATAGTCGAATAATGGGCAGCAGTGTATGACAATACTAACACGCTGTATGGGTCCCGGCATAAAATGGGTCATCCTTCCCTTTCACCTAAGCGTCGTAAGAGGCGACTAAGGGAATTTAATAGTCGAATAATGGGCAGCAGTGTATGACAATACTAACACGCTGTATGGTCCCGGCATAAAATGGACCATCCCTTACTTTCATCTAACTGTCGTAAGAGGCGACTGAGGGAATTTATAGTCGAGTGATGAGCAACAGTGTCCCTATTAAAACTTCACCAAAAGTCAAACTGCGGTCGGCATCTTGCCTGCAAAGCTAGACATCTACTGGCAAAATTACCCAATGGTAAACTGCCATAAAGAACAGCCCCGTTCCTCGTGACAGTCTATAGGAAAAGTTTATGTTCAATAGAGGACAGATAATGACTGATATGGTAACGATGTTGATGATGAAACATGTTCTTTGCACAATATCGAATGATCAACAAGCTGGCATCCTCCTTGTGTTGTTAGACAACCGTTGCCTCTAAACATGAAGAGCCCCTCAATTAAGTTGACATCTAATCAATATTGTATGCGATTGCACCACATAACCGGTACCTAGCACGCAGTTCCCGACCTTTGTTGCCAGTTTACATACAACTGATCAGTATCGATTGACAGTGGCATGCAACCTCTAACTTTCGCTAGGTAACTACATTAAGTTTCTTGCAAATGCAACCGTGAACTTGGCTAAATAAAGTCAATTATTTTAACTATTATAATTCTTACTAATTTTATAAATGTGAAAGTGAGTTTTTTTGTTTGTACCTCATAGCGTTTTAACTGCTTAACTAATTAATATGAAATTTGGTAAATACATACTACATGGGATGGAGTAGGGTATAGATTAATTTTTATATCGGTCAGTGAAGATATCTCGGTCATACAGACGAAGTCGCCGGTAAGAGCTAATTTATTTATTTATTTTTTTTTTTTCATTTAAGAGATTTCTCTTGTCGGAGCAACCAATTCATGCATCTTCCTTCAGCCAGCTCTATCCTAGGCCATATCCTTTATCTTCCTATACGACATGACGCCTAGTGTTTCCTTTATCTGTTTATTTATTTATTTTTTTTATAATGAGAAATAATTTGTTTTTGTAATGGATGAACTCAAAAATACATAAACTATTTTCAAAACACTTTTATGTATATAGAAAGTTAAATTATTAATGAGTAATATGGCCTGTATATGATTTAAAAAATAATTAAAGTTCTTTTACGTACCTGTTCAAAGCCGGAGCGGGTCGCTGTGTTAGAAAAAGACACTAATATCAAAACTATTTACCCCATTATACAATAAGAATCCAGAATCAAGCTTCTCATGTGGGATTCAGGGATAATATCCGCTTACAATAGGATCTAAAAATACTAATGTCTATTTTTATTTAGCAAATATCCGTATATTTGTTACATATATCCGTTACTCCTGTCTCCCATTGGGGGTAGCCGCAATAATGGAACACCAAATGTTCCAATACAAACAAAGCTCTTTCTCTTCCTTCATATCTCTATGATATTTATTATATGTCAATTTATATAAGTAGGTAAATTAAATTTTTTCGTTCACCACTTTTGTCCTCAAACGCTTTTTTGTTTTTACCTAATAGTTAACTGATAGAAAATGCCATATGGCATCCAGCTCGCCATGTGCACAAATTGTATTATGCAGAAAAGGATAAATAAATTTGCCAAACAATACATATAATTTTACATAAAAAAGGTCGTACATTCAATTCATTTATTTAAGCTGAACATTGACTAAATATCTTGCGTAGCTTTTATAAATAAATATGAAAAATAAATATCAGAGTACAGGTTTCGTTATAGTCCTGTTTTCCACCTTAGAGAGAACGTTTTCAGTTAATATCCGGAGAGACGATTGGCACTAATCGATTTCGAAATGAACAAGAAATGCCAATAACACTTCAAAATATCAACTTGTTCTATATTTGAGATCATGTGCGATCGTATATAAAAGGAAGGATCTTTTAATTTTCTTTATTTATATATTAGTTTTAACCCACGACTTTGTCCGTGTGACTAGAATGTGTTCATTGGCCATCACATTGGTACGAATATACCAAATTTAAAAATGATGACATCATTTTATGTTTGTTACTCCATCATTTATAAATTGTTTTGAAAAATTTTATTTTTGTTTGAAACGATATATTTTCAGATAAGTCTTATAATAATGTCATAAAAATCGATTCAGTAGTTTGATTATGTTTAAATCAGTTTTACCACTTGAATTTGAGTTTACCATTGAAGTCGTTTCTTTGTGGGGAAAGTCTTTATGTAATATTTGTAAGGGCCACAGACTTGTCTGTGTAGCATTTATGTATAATGATAAGTACATAGAGACAAATAATATTGATTAAATAAATAATTACGAAAAATTATTTGATAACAAAACTAACAAGAAAGTAAGTTATATATTAATTTATAAATTGTATTATAATTTAACATATAACTTATTTTTAGCATAGGGACTGGTTTCCTTCGAGACTATCGACTCTACATCGAATTCCGACTAAATTATCATCAGATTGAACTTTGACAAAGTGGTTTGGTGTGAATTAGTATACACCACACACTATAAGCTTGATGCCAGGTAACGTTATCTGAGTCATAATCCTTAACAAAAAGAGTGAGACTATTTCGCAGCCATAGACAATGGAATCCGAAGGTTTCCTATCGTTTCTAATTGTTTGCAATGTTTGTTATGTGAAAACCAGCTCTGATGTCCTTTGATTTTAACCATTGACAATGTAAAACCTAAAATAATATCTACCAGAGGGAGACTTTGTACAAAAGTCATTTGCTTGGGTACCTCTGACCCATCTCAGGTGAGTAGCTTGTTTGCCATT